CCACAGATCTCATCCTGGGTAGTAAAGTTCATGACTTATTTTCCCTCTTGTCCTGGTTTCAGCTGGGATAGAGTCAATTTTCGTTCTAGTTGCTGCGACGTTCCAGCTTTGGTATGAAAAGAACGTCAATTATGCATAGTGTTTTAGTTGTTGCTAGGGGATGTTTATACCATTCAAGGACTTTTTTCAGCTTCCCACAGAAGCTGAGAAGGAGCAGAGGCAGAGCAATGGGATGGCCAATGGAATATTCTGTACCACAGGCGTCAGGCTCAATATTTAAATGGAGATTGGCCGGGGGGTGGGAATCTGCAATCCCGCAGAGCGTGAGTGTTGTTTTACACACTCACTCCCAAGAGTGACTTGTGTTGTTTTACGTTATCTTGTATATTTTTTTACCATTATTAATATGATTATTGTTGTTTTCTTTTTTCTGTTACTGTTCTACTAATCTGTCTTTTATGTCAACCCACAACTCCTTGCTTTCGCTCCCCTCGCCTTTCTTTTAAATTTTCTTTTGTTACTGTTTGTTAAATATCTGCAATGATAAACCTCCACTTTGATATTACATTCTCCTGAGCTACCAGCTGAAAAGACACCTAAGAAAAACCTGACCATTTCTGACTCAAACTTTCAAAAGAAACACCCCCCAGCCAATACTAAATAACTATCACCACATGACTTTACCTGCTTTCAAGTTTTATAGCAACTAAGTTAAGTTCAGCACAAATGAACCAGCGTTTTCCAGCAATCAAAATCACTAGAGATTTCAAGCCACATTCTGCCCTTGACTCCGTTTGGGATCTAGGGAGAGATACCTGTTTCCATTATAAATTTTATTTTAATAAATCTTACCACTTTTACCCAAGAAGCTCAGAATGTTTTACAGTCACTCATTATATTATAACCTTACTAAAACTCTTTGTGTAAGGTAAAAACATGTCTAGATGAGAACAGTTTGTAAATATCCACATATTGTTCTCAAAAATAAGTAGTAATTTGCCAAAAATATATATATTAAATTTTTCAGTTAAAACACTGGGGGAAATTAGAAGGAAGTTCCTGGTGAAAAGCAAGCAGTGCTGTCAGTGGAGGATGTGAGAATTTGATTCCGAGGTGTGTTGTTTCTATGGGGCTTACCTATATTTTCCATTCTTTAAATCACTAATGTTTTATGCATAAGGGACTGAGGGAAAAAGAAGTGATTTCTCCATAGGATCTGGCCTAAATGGGATGCAAGTTCATTTCTTGAATTTCCACTCCTGGTTCAGTCACACAGTTATAATTTCTTGGTATTAGAAGTGTGATGATTGTGTAGTATTTGTTTGGTTGTTTTTTTTTTACAGTTTCAACATTTCATATAGAACAAGATAGCTTTTTTCCCCAAGAGAGATTCAGATCCCAATCTGTTAATATTTTGCCTCATTCTGCTGGAAACTGCAATTCCTGAAGAAATTAAGTTTTGCTTACCAAAAAAGCCGAAAGGTCTTAGAAATTTTCATTCACAGGAAAAAGTGAATAAAAAATTTAAAAAGGTTATTTCATTTTGGGTCAGTTTAATCCCAAGGGGAATACTATGTTTTATTAAACTGGAAAAAGCATTTATTCTGAATTACTTCAATATCACATCTTAATTAACATTTATCAAGGCCAATGCATTTCGTATGCTAGGGAACTGTCAGCTTGTTTATATGTTAGAGAATTGTCCACAGAAGATAAAAAACAGGGGAGGGTTATTTAATATTTTGTGCCATACAAGAACTAAGAGGTGCCACATTCAATTCTCCAACAGCAGGTTCAAAACAAACAGAAAGGGCAGCAGGTATTACAACATGCAGGTCATTCCAAAAGATGGTGCAGAGGCTAAAAGTACAAATCAAAAAGGCATGGACAAAAATTCATAGAAGGTAACCATGGCTGCTGGAAATAATTCCCTGAATATATGCTCTAAGTCAGAAGGTTCTTCAGTTTTGATTGCTGGTATCTTGCAGGTTATGGCACAGGAAAAAAGTGGACTTTTTAAGGCAGCTTACTATAGTTTGTATCCATAGATGGCTGCTATAAGTACTATGAGAATCCTCTGAAGGATAAAGGCATCTCACAGATAAGGTCATCAAAAATGCAGCTTAAAAACAACAAAAAAGCAAAAAAAAAGTGTTTCTTTCACTGAAAATATTAATAATTCTGTAAACATGCTCATTCTTTCGGACATGCACATATTGTCTCTTTTGACCTTTTTTATCCTGACTCCAAATAAAAGCTAAAGTTAACACACAAGATGAAGATCAAAATGTTGGTAGTAAATCAGTGCTATTAAATAGATAGTCCAAACAGACGTGTAAATAAGCAGGGTTCAAGATTCATAAAAATGAGCATAGTTGCAGCAATAATTGGAAAAAATAAATGCAGAAAGCAAAATTTGATCTAGCAAACTAACCTGTTACTGCTAATAAAAATTGTCTTCAAGTACTATTTACTTCAGGAAGCATTAGGGGATCTTCAACAATTTGCAAACCTTCCAGTTAAAGTTTCCCTCAACAGACAGATGACATTCTGGCAGGTTTCCCAAAAAAGGTTTTTGTTTTACGGTTCTATGTGAAATCAATTTCCATAAAACCAACAGATTAAAATCCCTTCTCTGCGGTAAAAGCAAAAGATAAATAAATAAAAAAAGCATTAAAAAGTGCTTTTCTGCCCGTTAAAACCTTTGAAAGCTTTGCTAATATTCAAATGAGGAGTTTTTCGTTCGCAGGCAACATTTGTTTAAGCTTCTCTCTCTGATACCACAGCAATCATTTTTTATTTCTGCTTCTTGAGCCTTTCCAGCAGACCAGGGCGGACAACACCATCCATTAACAGCAAAAATTATTCAGAGCTGTGTTTATCTCTTGGCTGTTTGAAATTGCTTTAGTTTATTTATTTATTTTTATCTTAAACATGGAAGTACATGGAAATACTTGATGCTGCTTAGAAGCAGCCAGCTGGAAATTTCTTGCATCAGGTAAATTTATAGAGACATAAGCAAGGCTAGATATATGCTAAGGTCTTCTACACTATCCTCCCTGTTATGGGTTGTCCTTTTTGTCAGTATATGAATGCTAGGTGATATATAACAAGCAACAGTTTTGACTAAGGGGTGAGGCAGGGATTTGTGATTCATCTCCTGAAACTGGTCTAATTCCTTGTTTTGCCTGAGATTCCCTTTCTGATGCACACAGCAGTGAGTTTTCCTGCACATCAGAACCTCACCAGTTATTTGGGTGACAAAAGGTATTGCTACATCTCTCCTTTCTCTTGTATCCTTAGCATAAGCATCCTTTCTTTTGTTAGGGGTTTCTATACAGCAGCCAGGACTCTTATCTCTCTCTAAAGATTCAGGAATAGATACTCATGAATTATGGCTGATCTGAGCTGACACGGCCACGTGATACACATTACACAGAGGAATGACCTCAGACTAGAAAGTTTTGGCAGAATGAATGTCACTGCTTTGTGCCTTCTGGCACATTGTGGCTTCAAAATGTTTTTTGTGCTCCCCATCTCGGAGGCTTTTATTGTTTCAAGGAGACCCCATCTCCTGGGTATGATGTAATGTGGGGTGCCTGGATGGGCATCATGTGCCTGTGGATGGTGATCCCTGTCAGAAGGCTGTAGCACAAGTTCAGTGGCATCATCCCTGCACTAAGTATGTACAACAAATGTGGTTTTCTTTTTTCTCAGCAGTTCTTTATTGCAATTCCACCTTTGGCTACATGCTTTTTAAGAACACTTACGGTTCCTTGCATCACCATTATGATTCAGTAAATTGGCTTATTGTACTTGCCACAAGTAGCCTGATTTCTCTCTTGAAATCCTGATGCAGTTTATGTACCGAACATGTTATCACAGGGACTAACAGTGGGGTTTATCTCACCTAATTCATTTGTTTATGAGGCAGTCATCCTGGCCTCTCTTTATGTCCCACAATAAGAAATAAGCACTTTGAGGGTGAAATTCATCTGACCTATTTGATATCACTACTTCAGAAAGAGATGACTCATACCCTGGAAATGCCGATTGGCCTCCAGTGAATATAAAGGCAGCCTACATCATTAACTGGGATGAAGACATTTGCTCAGATTAATCCCAAGTAAGAGCCCTAGCCGTGCTTCAGGCCTCTGGTGGGCTCAGTGGTGAGAAAACTCCAAACAAGATGTTCCACTCTTAATGGGTTCATGCTGTAAGATAGGAGACATAATGATACAGTCAGAAGAGAACACCGTGACCATAATACTCAGCACTGAGAGGGAATGACCTCAGCACTAAACGAACTTAAATTCTATCAGGTTTTTGAGGAAAAATTTGGGTAACAGTGAGTTCATTTTGCACATGGTTATGGGAGAACATATCCCAAATGAATGGCCTGCACCCATCAAAAGGAAATGCAGTTTTTGGGCTGAAGTCTTGTCATTTTGGTGCTGGAAGCTTATGTCATGGGACAGTGTGAAATGGGAACTAAACTTCCAATCTGTAAAAAAGATTGGGATGAGCTATAAAGGACATTTATAGTGAACAGAGATTGTGCATAATTCAGTGAGGAAGGGTGATACAGTTAAAACCAGAGAGAAAGATGTTGCATCACTCAAGATGCAAGCTGATGAGAAGTCGGATAAGAGTATTATCTACATGGACAGATGGAAAGGTTGTATTGTTGAGATGTTATGCTGGAAAAAGATCTGTAAGACAGCAGAGAAAGAACTGAGTGAGAGATAACACTCAAGCCACTGGACTGAATGCAAAGAAAGCAAATTTCATTCACATCATTTAAGCTAGTGCATACTGGACAATGTTCATTTTGAAAGGGAAATGTGTGGACGTGTCAGCTTGAAATAAATAAAAGTAAAAACCACCACCATCAAAACCAAAACAGCAAACATTTTTAAGGAAATAACACTGAGACAACAATTACTCTTCTGTAACAATGCTACTCTCATTATTTTTCTTCTCAATTTTTCTTCTTTTAGCTTTGCTCGTCCGGGGAAAGGTTCATGGCTTGGTAAGGGAAACCTGGAGGCAGGACCAGACCAGTCCAGTATGTCATTAGAAAATCTAGTGTTTGGAGCTGGCTACTGCAAACCCACTTCTTCAGAGGTAAGGAGGATGAACGATGATGACTTTCTTACATTTGGGCACACAGAGCATTCACATTACCTGTTAATATCTGGTTTATGTTGCTAATAGAGGGATTTTGTTGGAAGAAGAATCCTTCAAACATTTCTGCATGAACTACCTGGGACTTGGATACAGGGTTCCTGGGTGTTCAGCCCCCACCTATATGAACAATTTTGGAAGAGTTCCAGATGTATGGAACCCCCCCTGACTGCCAGTAACACTTTTCAGGTGGGATTCAGCTGACCAGGTGTCTGCTGTAAGGTGGAGTTAATGATTCAGTACAAGATCCTTGCTTTCAGGTCTCATGTTCAACAGCCAGAGGGCTTGAGTCATTATTAAGGATGTTTTGAAGGAAGGGTTTGTGTCTGGAGTATTGAGTATTGTGTGTGTTGGTGATGGAGTGTTGCACTTACTGCCTTACTCAAGGCAGGTCCCACAGGTACTGTATGCCTTATCACAGGTGAAGAGAAGAGTTTATTGTGCCATTTGTAATACAAAGTTGTTTGTTTTGAAAATAATGATTAATTATGGAGGTTTGGGTTTGGTTTTTTGGCTTTTGGGGGGTGTGTGGTCTTTTTGTTGTTGATTTTTATATTTTTTTTAAGTGCTAGTTTTGAAGTGTTTTTTGTCAGAAATGTTTCCTCAGACGTAGAAAATCAACCCACCTTAACTTGTTCAGAAACCCCAGTTCAAGGGTTCTGATTAACATGCTGCCCTCAGCCCCCCTCAGCCTTTCCTGTCGAAGCTATTCTCTTCTGTATAAATATTAAAAATATGCTAGCCTAGAGCATCTGGTGCAGAAGAACTACCAGGGAATTAACTCAGGCTGAGAGAATGTTTGGCCTGAGGCTGCTATCTGGACCATTGGGTCATTGTATGCTTTTGGCAAACAAACTGACCTCGACCTCTGCCTCTCTGGTAGACAGTCACATCATATAAATTTAAATAACTGATTCAAGCATTTGTCTTTGTAGTCTAATCTCTGTACATTACACAAGAGAGAGGTTTCTTTGGAGAGTGGTTTCTACTTTTCATTATGCTCTGGACAAAACTCTATTGTAAGGAGACAGATGGAAAGGCTGACACTCCACTCCCATTTTTCCTTTTACTCTCCGTGGAAAAATCTTAGTCTGCTCTGATTAGGAAACCTTATTTCCTTCCCAAATGTTTTCCTTAGCTGCAAACTCTATTTTCTACCTGTCCTTGTTGACTAATCTTCTTTGATTATAGGCTTTTTTTTTTTTCTTCTTTTCTTTTTTTCAAAGATGGCATAATTATTATCCTAGCAGGTGACCTATTAAATACCAAAATGAAAGCACTCTGTCATGAACTGGCTTTAGCAATCTGCTACCCTGCAGGTCATCAGAATGTCACACACCAAACAATCATAAATATAATGCTGCAGACTCCACTTCCAAGTGGTCAGATGTGCATTTGTTTAGCTTCTGAAACCTCTATATGTCATGGCATCTGCTCTTGATCTGAGCATTTTAATTTAATAGACTGTGATGGCCTTTTTGCGTATGCTATCCATGATGTACGATAATGAACAAGGACTATTTCTCTTGGTTTAATGTAAAAAATAAGAATTCAGAGCTTGAAAAGAAATTGCTGTGGGGGTAAACCTAACTCCAAGTGAGGGCCTTATGACTGACTGCTGTTTTATACAGGAGTTTATATCAAGCCATAAGGGATTGAAGGAAGAGGAATAATATTATTTCTTACAGTGCTGCAGTGCTTTGCACTGGGTTAAGTTTACTTCTCTTTACAAATTTGTACATTTCATTCCTGGTGGTTTGAAGGTGTTTGTTAAATGAAACTTCAGCTGGAGTATAGACATCCTTAGGTTTGGGGAATTTTACAAGCATGGTCTGGACATTTGATGAAAACTGTAGGCCTTTCTACTCTATTTATGGTTTTGGTTGGACTTTGCCTACCGCACGTCCAAATTAGTAACTGGTTAATTCCTTAACTCAAGATATACTATGGTTTGTTTTTTTTTTTTCTTTGTAAGCTACTCTGATTTGATACAACTGGCTAAATCTAGGCTAGAACAATTAAGGCATCTTGTCTTGCAAGGCAGATGAAGCTTCATTGGGCAGCACATGGGAAAATGAATTTTAAATAGACTTTAGTTAGTTCCTTTTTATGTCATAAAATGCTGTGAAACAGTTAATGTTAGTCTATCCTCTTTTTTCTTTTGTTTTGTTTTATTTTCATCTCTGCAAAGCTGGGTTTGGATCCTTCTACTTTTCATGTACATTTCTGTATTTTCCTTGATCTGAGAAGTCTCCTGGCTTAAGCTCTTAAGATGTATCTCCTGGGCAAGAGCCTTCTGTCTGAAGTCTGTTTAGGGAACTGAACCTGATTATTCAGTTCTCTGTAAGACAGCAAACAATTGAGCATTTTTACCTCCTTCTTCCTCATAAAACATGGGTGCATCAGAGAGCTAATTTCATTTTTAGGCCCATAGACTGTGGAAGTTCTCATCTAGTTTATGTAGTTGGTTTGCTTTTTCCTTACTAAAAGTACAAGTGACTGCCTTCATTTCTAAAGAAAGTCTGTATCAGTTATCAGCTCTTCTTGCCACTTCCTGAGCTAATCTCCTGCATTTGGGCTGCTGAGGTGCCACTGCTTAATGACAGATCCTGAAGGCTCCTCGTTCTGCGCTTCTGAGTTCTCAGTGCGGAGACTAATTAGATGCCAGAGGCTTTAGACTGTACATGTGCATTTTCCCTAGTTCTCCCCAAGCGACTTCTGAACGCCACTGACAGTTTCCTCATATCCTGGCTTAGCAGAGTAGTTATAATAATTAATCCTATTTAAACCTTGGTGATTTTTTTTTTTAAATCTTCCACACTTCCCAGTCTATGCACCAAATGGGTCTTTCTCTATTCCTCCTTCCCTCCCTCTCGAATATTTTCTCTCTACCTATATTACACTTTTCCTATCAAGCATAAGACAACAAAGATATTTCTTATTAAAATAAGAAATTTTTGTTGTCAGGTAAATATGAGGGAAGGTGCTTTTAAGGTCAAAAAGCTAGTAGAGAACAACCTACAGAATAAGAAAATGTGGTAGTACTTTCTCAAGCTCTCTTCAGCCCATAACCTTTACTCACAGGGAATATATATCACAGCAGATTAACAGTATGTTCAAAATAGGATCATATCTACTGCAGGCTTGGGAAATCCAGTGAAACAGACTCATGAGCTGTTTGTGACTGACTTCCCTCAGGGGCATCTGAATTCCCCTTGGGGTCTGCTAAATTGTTTTTCCCTGTGAGGAAGTTCAAGGGGTTGTTTCGGATGTTGCAAGGTCTGTTTCTGAATGTCATACTGACTCATGCTTTCAGGTGATCTCAGCAGCCGTAGGAGCTGGACACTGAAAAAGATGTACAAATCCTACATCTACAATAAAGTAAAAAGAAAATGTTCTTTGCAGAACTGAATATTGAATGGTCACTTACACTTCAGGAGTTTTACGCTTTACCCCATCCCGTACACGTCTTCTGTAGCCACTGCTGTCAGGCTGGTTTAATGTCTTAGTAATATTGTGCATCACATGCCTGCTGTGTTATAATCAAGTTGAGTCAATGACATACTGGTGGTTATTAATAAACTGTACTCACGGTAATCTTATTTTCATTTGGACAGCAGTTGCACTGCAGATAAATTGACTTCTAAGTAATCAGATTGATTAATCATGTGACTCCCCATTAATAAAGCACTGGCGTTTGATAAGAAGTGTTCTTCTTCCATCTAGCATTGATGTACCTATCCCAAAAGACATCGAGTTTATGCCTGGCGTAATACAAGAACCAGGAGTGTCACTCAAATGAAATTGCATTGATGATAAGAGTTCTTTTCCAAAGGCAGTTTGCTAATATTTTCATCTTTTCAGCAACATGTGAAAAACCCAGACTGTTTCAGCCTCACACCAAAACAGTATTCAAACCTACAGTTTTATGTTACACGGGAGCCGTCTGTGTTTTATTCTTCTTTTCTGCTATATAGTTATGGCTCTTTGGCTTCAATACTTCACTTTTTCAGCTTTTGAAAAAGGAAGGGCAGGCATCAGAAAATAGCCTGTGTAGGATCCATTGTGGGAATTGTAATAGGCCCTGAAATCCCAGTTTAGCCCTAGTTCCCAAGAAGAGGAACACAGAGCTGCAAACTTCATTCCTCTTCAGACATAGGAACCTTAATGTAGAGCTTCCTGTCACCCTTTTTTGTATTTACTGGTGCAGCAGACCTTTTTCTAACCTAATCCCATTCTTTTTTCTTTTTTCTTTTTTTTTATCCCCACCAGGGCATGTGACCACAAAACAAAATTGTATGAGAAAGAGGGAGGGAGGGGAGGACAAGGGGAAGGCTGAAGGAGAGAGGTAGTGGGAAGGGAAGGGAAATAAAATAATAGGTGTTAGCATTTCAAAAGAACTAAAGCTTTGCAAAAGACTAACCCATCACATCACAATTTCACCCAGAATTGTTAATTTTACAAGGAAACAGCTTTATTTTTGGTCTCAGACTTCTCTGCTTTGGTGTGTGTGGTATAGAAAGCACGTCTTTCATGTGTTAGCATGTGTTTGTAATGGGTGGTTTTAAAGGAAGAGGATTCTTTCAGTGCCTTGGTTATGCAAATGGTGAATAGTTGTGATTGGGACTCCAGCAGATGTCCAACACATAATTATTCTGAAATAGTAGGAGAGCTGATATACTGTTCTTTATAAGGTATAATGACAAGTATCTTTAATTAGTGTGTTCAGGGCACTATTTGTGATAATTACTGATGAAGTCTTTAATCTTCAGTTGCCTGAAGATAAATGGCTGATCTTTAGAAAGAACTAAATGATTTCCTAGCTGTAGCAGAAAACACGGTAACTAATAATGTGAAAATAACTGGTTTCTTTAATCATTGGCATATTTCTTTTCTGTGGCTCTTACTTTTTGATCTGGCATATGCAGGGTACAGCAAGG